TTTTTTCTACTTTGTGGAATCCTCAAATATGCTTTCCTTTATGAAAGTATTTTTTCCCTTCATTTTTCTTTTCTTTGAATTTTTATATCACTGGATCATAAAATACACCTTTGACCCAAAAATATATGGTTCCATAGTTTTCTCTTTATTTTTTGCTTCTAAAACTAGGCCATAACCTTGGAGAAGTGGGGGAGGCAGTTTATTTGTTTTTACAAGGAAAATGTTTGGAGTGGGTGAAGAGAGTATGCAATCCCACAGCAGTGTGATTCTGAGGTTATAGTCATTATAATACAAGGAATTTTTATTTAAAATGTTTGTTTACTTGAATTTTTATTTAAGACACAGTGCACCTTTCATGAGGGGCAAATGCTGTAGAAGAAACCCATTCTATTAGAAAAACATGAAACACCCTTTTATTTAAGGTGCAATTCACTGACTTCCAGAAGAGGGTGCTCTAGATGCTTTAATGACTATCATAAGTAAGCCTGTCATTCTTCCTCTTTTTAGAAAATCTCATTCCTGGTGAGGTATGCTCAGGCAGGCTTTCTGAATGGAGTGTACAGTGCAGCACTGGAAATGTGGCAACATATCACGATTACATTACCTGGTCCCTCGAATTAAGCTACTTTGAGTAAATTGACTATAAATGATATACCATGCATATATCTTAGTTTATTTTTCATATAAATATGAAATAGTGTTGACAATTAACTACTACCCATGCACTCACAAGTCACTGAATAGGATGATGATATCATAAAGATGACTAAGGCTTTACTTTATCCCTCAAGAAACTTTTAATTAGATGAGCATTTCTACATAAAAGTAATCAGGTTCACATCCACATTTCCATTCCCATCAAAATTCTTAACCTATAGTCATATTTACTAACAGCTTTCATCTCTCTACTCTAAAGAATATTCCATTTTTAGTTTATCATTGTACAAAAGTATATCTAGACCCTTCATTGTTCTAAATTCCTTTCCCTACTGTCCCTCATACTCCTCCTTTAAGTCTTTAACATTCTTATGTGGCATGTCCTGTGGATGCAAAACCCTACTTTCATATAAAAAAAGGTCAAATGTAACATTCCCATAACTTCCTAATGAGGCCTAGAATATTACTAATCCTCTGAGTCATGATGATTCCAGTGGACAAAGACCATCAGATTTCTTTCCTGAACTGTGGTAGTTTGAGTCACATTTTTCAGCACAGCTTCATTTTTTTCCCCTCTGGCAATATACCACATCTATCTATGTTTGAGACTCTTCACCCTCTTACTTTATGTCCCTTTCACATTTAGGAGGTCACTAACTAATTAGTATGTATCAGGCCCAAAAATTAAACACAAAACTACCACCACCATCACCACCACACGGACAACCTGATAAATCCCCCATCAATTTTCCACTTTGGGATTTGAAATATGCACTCTACACACCATGATGCCTTGCTTGTCAGCATGTTATTTCAATATACCTCGCAAAACCAGATCATAAATGAAATTATTAAACTGAATAATAGGGACTAATGCTTCTTGAGAATATACTATGTACAAAGAACTGTACTAAGTAGTAAGAGTACATTGTTGTTCCCATTGTCACCACAACTTTATAGGTGATAAGCGATTTCCCCCATTTTAGGTAGGTGAATGAGGCTTAGCAAGGTTACATCACCTGTGCAATGTCACACAATCAGGAAGAAATACAATGTCAAAGCTTGTAAAGCCACGGTCCTTTGTATTGACTGCAATACATCTCTTTGATCACAGGGGTTGACAAAAATATCTTTAAGTGATGGGTGGGTGACAAAGAGCAAGAGCATTGAAGGCAAATCAGTATGATCTGTCAGGAACATTATTTTTTGAGCCAAGTTGTAATAAAGTTTTGATAGTTTGAAGTTTTCAATTTATCAGCAATAAAAGAACCTGAAGGGTAATAAAACATCAGTAGTCAACAATGACTATTGCACTTCCTGACTTACCTCAATAGTTAACCGGGCTGGGTGATTTTCCAGAAGTAGCTGCTCTGCTATCTCCTGAACTGACTTAATATTTTCTTCCTTTTGTTCGAGTTCTCTCATTAATTCCTGAAGTAAGAAAGAATGCAGGGATGTGTTAGGAAAAGATCTAAACCTGAAATACAACTTTAATATCCAATTACAAAAGTTGTACTTACAGCATGGTAATCTTTTTTCCGAGCGATGTTGGTATTTCTTTCACTCCAGTCATAAGCAACTTCCTCTTCTTCTTTTTCATTCAACCAAATAAGTTCATTAGTTGCACGAGATACAAAGTTATGGAGTGTATCAAGGTGCCGTTCCTGATTTCTGGATGTATTCTTTATAAGGTAAAAATCATTGTAAGAACCATGTCTTTGTCAAATAGAGAATGAAAGAAATAGAACTTTTTAAGACACTTACCAAGAGTTTTGCATACTGACTCTCTAGTCTGTGCAACTTCTCTGCGTAAGTTAGTTTAAGAGGTGCCGTCATTTGGATCTATAATATGGTATAAAAGGTTAGGAATCTTAAAGAATTCTGACTCGTACTCAATATAATATGTCTATTATCTTGTAATGTATCTATTATCTCAGGGTCTTTATGTAAAGAGCAAAAAACAGTATGCCAAAATGAAATATAAACAGATTTGAAATTCATATACCTCACTGATCTTAGCTTCTTTAAGGCTAGATTCAAATTCTTCAATAGCTCGGTGAACATTTTTGTGATTTTCTAAATGGCTTTCGACACTTGACAAATCTGATCCCCATTCAGTACGGTCCAACTGCACCTTTAAACAGAAAGACACTGAGTTTAAAAAAGAAACTGATGGCAATAAAGACTGAAACTCTCAGGTAAAGTACACATTTTTTTTTTTTTTACCTGCATCTCATCAACCCAACTCAAAAGATCCTGAACAAATTTCATGTTGATTTCCTCTTCGGTTAAATTCTGATCCAACAAAGATGACTTTAGAAGGGGCTTTCTGATCTGCATCAACTTCAGGGTTTGCAATGAATTTGCCTCTACTCCTGAATTGAAATTTGGAACTAATCCTGGGAAAGCAGGTGTATAGGCTGGAGTGAGGGAGGGAGTCAGGCGGGAGGTCAGACCTGACGACAGGCCTGATGTCACACTAGAAGGGGTCAGGGAAGGCGTTAAACTCTGGGTCAGCCCTGAGTTCAGACTGGGGTTTAAGGTCTGTGCAAATCCTGAGTTTAAACTTTGAGTGATTCCTGATATCATGAGCTTCGTCTGTTCTGTTGTCAGCATGCGCCCTTTGCTGTACACTGAGGAACATTCGTTCCTTAAGGCCATAATTTCATCACGCAGTTTTGCAACCCTAAAAGAAAACCAAAAGAAGTAAGCTATAATATAAAAGCCAGTTTTCATAAACAATGTGCCCTAATGTAAACTAAGGTCTTTAATTAACAATAATGCATCAATACTGCCTCGTCAATTATAACAAACGTATCACACCAGTGCAAGATATTAATAGGGAAAGGGGAGGTGTGAGGGAGTATATGGGAACTCTCAGTACTTTCCTTTCAATTTTTCTGTAAACCTAAACTGCTAAATAGTCTATTTTTTAAAAGTAATCGTACTCATATCAATAAAATTTTTCACTTTTTTTTTTCACTGAATTGTACTCTTAGCACTTTTATTATCACATAGTCTTTATAACTATAATTAATAAGGAACATAATTATTACAATATAATGTGTCATTGTCTTATT